CCATCAACTGTGACATCACTCGGTGCGTTTAAACGATTCAGTGTGGTGCCAGTAGTGCCAGTGCTTCCCGCCACAATTCTAAGTGTTGAATTCCAAACAGCAGTCCGACATACTTGATTTAATGGTTGCGCTTAAAATGATTGAAATAAAAAGAATATCGTGTATCGATTGAGAAAAACATACTTGTTGGTTTTACTGTCGTCGTTGTAGTGGGTGCTAAAATAAAATTTAACGATTTAATTATTGATATATGTTTATCGACTGAGCAAAGGCGGTGTTCTTGGATATATTTTATGATATCACAAACTTCTCAAAAAGTGAGCTTTAAAAAGGAAAATATGATATTATAGGAATTTTTTTTATATGGTATCTCAGAATACGGTCGTCTTTTTATGATTGTATTCATAATACTATGGTGATTTTCATTTTGGTGTAAAATTTTCGATAGGTTTATAAGTAAAACTCGTAGAGTATATCAGCTGTATTTTAATTCAACTTACGGCATGATATTGCGAACGAGTCAATACGATGGTACGACGTATCAGCGACAACCAAGTTACCGACATTATCTAATATCATTCCTTTAGGAGCGGACATTGTTGCATCTACCAATGTGACGCCATATGCTGAACCAGGGGCCCATCTTTGAATTCTACAATGAAATTCAGAAATCACGTCGCCTGAAAATTATTAGGTCATAGGTTTATAAAAATGACTTGAACGATATAATTGTATAATTCATAGTATTTCCTGAATCCATCACATACATGTTTTGGTCTTGATCAAATAAGATTGCTGTAGGTAAGTTAAATTGATAAGACCATGACCCGGGCACACCTGACTGACCAGCAATTGTTGTACCATTAGTAGCACCTATAAATGTAGTAAGTGATGAGAGAGATAAAAGCAGATAAACATAGGATAGTCAAAAAGTTCTGACAACAGCTGTCTGAAGTTTTGCTCTCATTGTTTTTGTTTCTCATATTGACTTATTCTGGTATTCGTATATGTTATCTATTAAACTACCAATACGACATTTCATAAACATCTATTAAGCCAAACTTTTAATAGACTTTGTATGCACCTTCGTTTTCAGATGGAACTACAGTGCATACCCTCAAATGTAAAATATTGGTTATTATCAGATCTAACTGCTACATAAATTCGTGATGAATTAAATACAAGCTATGGATAAAGTATTGTTTCATATAGTACAGTTGCTTCGCAGGTTCATCAATTTTTGAGTCAGAAACAATCGTTAGAAGATGATCCTCGAAGTGATCGTTTAGTAACTGTGTTAATCAAGATAACGTTGACGCCATTAAAGATCTAGTGAGTACTGCTTCATATGTTACTATTGATTATATTACTACTATCTTAAACCAAGTTAATACATAACTTATCTTGGACAACACTGGAAGATATTAGTCAAATTTTTGCATAAGAAAAAAACACCGTCGACAAAAAGTTGCAAAAACTTGCATTAGAAAAATGCACAATCACACATGTAAGATATTGTTATCAATCTTAATAGTCTTCGTGAGGAAAATTTTAAGCCATGGCTCCTTTACAATGCACATCTGACGTCGGTCTTTCGGATCTTTCGTAGCTCGATTGTCTGAAGAAGATCATTAATATATATCTATATTGTAAAAATCTAAGTAAAACAATAACCAACGGCTTCAGTCAGAAACCCATTCATAAGCTTCAAAAAAAGCCTTTCAGAAATAGATCTATGTGATGAAATTTTGTATCGAACATCATGCTGACTACTTTCGATATTTACTATCAACAGATTAGCAAAATATTTTTTTCGTGGATAACTGTTCCAAAGTGACAGAACTTTTTGACTACTGTTTTTAAATACGTGCCCCGCAACCATTTTTGGATTCGATGATTGCTGCTATCAACGATGTATAGAGTACCATTGATATCCACATATATCCCCCGAGGGCAATTTAATTGGTGTGCACCAGTACCCAAACCATTACCACCAGCTGCCTGAATTATACAAAGGTAGATAAATCACACGAAAAATCATGCTCGCATAAGAAAAGAATATAGTAAAATAAAATAAACTACTTACTAGTCTTCCAATCGTTGTATTTCCTGCAGTCCAAAACGAAATTCTGTGATTGCTGTAATCAGATATGTAGACATTCAAGTTAGTATCAACATAAAGGGCATAACTTATTGATATTTTATCAAGTGTTGCACCAGTACCATGTGCTCCAGCGACAGCTGTAACTACACCATTATTCCATTGTACGATACGATAATTTATGGAATCGAGAATGTATAAGATTCCAGTGCCTGCCATGAAAACTGCCGTTGGACCATTGAGAGTCAAGCCAGGAACAATAATACCTGTGGTCGAGCCATTGACGAATTTTATTATACGGTCATTGATACTATCGGCAACATAAAGTGTCCCATTTGTATCGTAAGCAACATCCATTGGGCTATAGAGTCGATTTGTCGCACTACTGGGTGCTGATATCACGCCGGCAATAGTTCTTACAGTGCTGTTCCAAACAGCTGTTGGACACACGACAAAATTTTGCGCTAGACAATCAGAACATTAGCAAACAATTGCGTAGAAGTATTGCAATAGTATGAATTTATGACCTTGTCAATAGTTGACATAATTATTTTTTAAATGAACTACACAGTATGAATACAGTAATAAAACTTTTTTAAAAAATAAAAGAGTTTATATTGATTTTTCTTTCTTAAGCAGTCACATGAGATACAAAGATGCGTACAGTTTTCACAACAAATAATTCAGAATAAATGTTATCTCAAGCAAAGTCAAACCTAACTTGATAATGACAATAAAGGTATATGTGCTTAGTGCGTAGTGTCGTTCTGCGAGATGAGAATTATCTTTTGAAGGCTTACCTCCCAATATTATTCTATCATTGCTAGTCGAACTGTTTCAATAATTTGGAAAGCTAGCTAATCCATTGCCACATATTACTTTTTTCTCTAAATGTACCAATCAGCAAGTGCATATGACTACTCTCTAAAAAAAATTTCTAGAAAACCCACACCGGCTTGGCAACTCATTTAGAAATCTTTAGAGGTTTTCGAGAGGGGTTGCGAGAACTTCAAGCGTTTTCAAAAATAACTTTTTGGTTTCCGATGACTCCGAAACCCTCCGATTTTCTAAAATACCAATTCCGGTGCCCTCAAAGTATTTTGAAGTAACTTTTTCTTGCTGTCGGAAACCTAACTGTATTCTCAGAAATCGTTAAGGTGTTTTAGGAAACTAATATTGCCGGAAAAACTGCCTTGGTATCCGAATGGGTATGCGAGGATACCTTTCCGGTTTCTGAGGTCTTTCATTGAAAACGTTTTAGGTTTCGTAGCGTTCTCTTTGTCAAAAAAGTATAATGAACGACCGAAATCGGTTTTCGAGGTCTTATTGACATTGCCAAAGATGTCGAAAGCTTTAAAAAACTTCACAATGTTTCACAAAAACCCTAATTAGAGTTTAAAAGCGTCTCAGAAGAACATTTCAGGTGTTCGAATTGTTATATTTTATTTAAGTTATCAAAAACTCGATCATAAAATTTGGTAAGCTTTATTTCGATATGTAAAAACTAACGCATTCCTTGTATTTTGTTTAGGTTATGAATAACATGATCATGACGTTTTTGGTAAGTTTACTTCGCTATTTAAAAAAATAATATATTCTTTTTATTTTATTCAGATTATGAACAACTTGATTATATCATTTTTGGTAAACTAACATAGGATGCGTTGTGAGAGTTTCCCCGGAAACTCAATTAAACATCGAGGGAGGAGATATGGAGATGTAGGAGATATAGAGATATTGGAGATATTCATTAACTAGTGCTGATAATCTTTGTGTAATATTTGACTTTGAATAGCGATCCATTCAAACATATTGATTCGATTTGCCGACCCTTGCTCGAAAAAATTAATCATAAAAAATAAATCACTGTTTACTATGTCTCCTATATCTCATATGCTAGCATTTAATGCAGTTTCCGGGGATACTCTCCGAACGCATCTAATCTAAACTAAATGTCGATATGTAAAAACTAACACATTGCTTTTATTCTATTCAGATTAACAACAACTTGATCATATCATTTATGGTAAGTTAAATTTTGATATGTAAAACCTAATACATTCTTTTGTATTTATTTAGGTTAACGACAACATGATCATATCATCATGGTAGGTTCCACTTTCATATTCCCTTTATTGAAAGAAAGGGTGTGAAATTCGGAAAATGCATGCATGCTTGTCTGTCTGTCCAAGCTAATCAGAAACGAGTTTTTTCTATTTTTTTGAATTTTTTGCATTCTGATGAAAGTTTGCTATAGGTTATCGGAGTTCAAGAATCCAAATCTGAGGTCAGATTTTTTTATCCGAGAGCTAATTGGCCAAAATATCAAGCAATCACGAACGAGCTTTTCTATTTTTTGGGTTTTGGGGCATTCCGATGAAACATTGTTAAAGGTTATCGTGGGGCGAAGAACTTGCATCTGACATTGATTTTTTCATCTGACCTCCCATTGCTCAGAGAATCCATCCAACAAAACCAAAATTTTCTACTTTTCGGTCTTCAGGGTTTTCGATATAACTTTCCCGTGGTTAATAGGTATCGAATCGTCGAATCTGAAGTAGGATTGACCCAAATGTTTTTGCATCAATTGTTTTGGAATGAGACTAAAAGCGCCTTGGTTTTTCTTATTGGAATGTGTGATGTATTCAGAGAAGGGACGAGTCAGAAGTGGCACCCCGAAAGAGCGCCGACGCCCGATGAGAAGCTAGTTCGTTTATCCGAGGTGAGACATGTTTTTGCAGAAAGATCCACGCATTATTTCGTTCTTTATTTGAGAATATGCAAGGGAAAGTACACAGAATTAGTACCATCCATGTATTTGCTAAGTCAATCAACCCCTAATTAATATCTTCAGGAGTAGAGAGAAATTTGAGAAGTTTTGAGAGTGGGAAGCGTTATCGCAGCTTCTTCTGAGAATAAAGCAGTAGAAAGCCAAACAGAGATGAGAACTTTTATTCCCTTTTCTCAAAAAAAAGGCCTTACATTCAAAAAATGTATGTTTATTTGTCAACTTCATTCAGTTAGAAACAACGTTTTTTTTGTCCTGTTCCTTTTGGAGTTTTCATGAAATTTTGCTGTATAATATTAGGGGCGAGGAGCTCGATTCTGAGCTCAGATGATTCATGCGAGCTGTCATTGCCTCAAAAACTGACCAATAAAAACGAAGTTTTCACTTTTCGACTTTCGGGGAGGCCGACGGAACTTTGCTATAGGATGTCAAGGATAAGGAGTCCGAATCTGTAATCGGTTTTCGAAATATTGAGTTTTTGTTTTTTTTTTCGTTAGAGAAAGGTATTTTTATGAAAAAAATTGAATTCTCAATAGTGGTTGTTGAAAACTAATAGGAATGGGGAAATCAGAATCTGCACACAGTTTTTCATGCTTCTCTACTGGATTTTGCTCGTAAGGAAAGGGGTTCTCTCGAAAGTAACCATATTTTCTTTCAGTGAAGGTACGATGATACGGAATAAAAGAAGTTTGTCTGTATATTTGCTGGGAAGTTTTAACGCACCTATTAGTATTAATTCATGGAACTTGAAGCTAATTTTGTCACAGTGGGAATTCAGTGAATAAGATAGTTTGAATCTCACGCTCTAAATTAATCAGAATTTTTATGATGCTAGGATTCCAAACAGTAACGTGCCTTTAATATGACAGTGTTTCATGCTCTATCTTTCCTATGTTGGATATTCTGTGAAATGATTTCTATGGCCTTGGAGTGCACGACAAATACTTTTCATGTCTTGGACGTTTGAGCATTTCTCTTGTTTTCCGTGGAAAAATGACTTGCAACTAATCGTCGGAGGCTGAAACTTCAGTGACATGTTATGTTTTTTTGTAACTTTCACTCAAGCAGAATCTGCATGTCGACAGTGGGCCAGAAAGATTAGTCTACCTTTGATATGTGCCTGTGTTCGCTTTCCTTTGTTGTGGTTAAGCTATGCATTGCCGGCGCATACTGAAGTTTATTCAACAACAATATAGCGTGTTCTACCAATGGACATTTACAGAAAAGCTGTAAAGCTCTCAACCTTCCAGCAAGAATCTTCTCGTCATAATTCAATATTTGAGTTGAAATTTCTTAAAGCTGATTGCACTTGATTGTGAATACAAGAGTAATCATTTAGAGATATGAATTCAAGAAAGACAGCGGCTAGCCGTGAGTGGTGCCTCGAAGGAGCCCCGACGAACGACTAGCTGCTGCTTTAGCAGATTAACAAGATATATACTTTCGGAAACGTGTTCATAACAGTTGCGACGGGATACAATAATGTGCCACTAGGAATCTGTAAATACTATTCTGATGTAAAGCGGGTTTTCTAGAAAAATCGAGAAATTCAAGAGACAATCAATATGTGACAGAAGCCGTTTTGTTTCAAGAAGACAATCTAGAACTCCTCAGTTATGAATTGGAAAATCTTTGAAATATTTGAAGTCTGGATCAGATAGGTCCTAAAGGAAAGGGTAGTCATTGAGGAGGCGGAGAATCGACGAAAGCAGCGACTTGTCGTAAGTGGTTCGTCGGATGGACACTGCCGACTGAATTATCGGGAATATAAAGCATTGACAGAAGAAAAGCTTAAGAGTATTGTTGTGAATCGAGATGGTGTCTGTTGACCATGTCCAATTAGTCCGAATCATGTTTGAGAGAAGAGAAAGACTGAAAAATTATTTTTCTGAATCAAATTTGAGAAGGAATTTTTCTGGATAGATACTACATTTGGAAAGTACATGTAAATGAAAGCATTAATAAGCGAATTTGTAACAAAGTATTTGCCCATGTAGATAAAAGAAGGTGTTATCGCCATCTCTGCGGGATTAAAATATGAAACACGATGTATCTACTCTCTCTCATTACCTGGAAATCGCTTTATTCGATCTATTTTTGGATACTTTGCTTCATTCTTATTTTTGGAATTCTGTACAAATATCACATGAAAGTATCTAATAGATTATAACGAGACCATATCAATACACAGGTTTTGATGAGTGTAAAACCCGTCGGCCACGGTCTGTAACGGGTCACATGATTGTCTGTCACGGTCTGTGGGAGGAGAGAGGGAGCGATGCTAATTTCTACCTGATATACTTCAGCACCCCTTTCAGAATCACGTTCCACAAAAAGTAGATTTGTCACCACTTAGATGAAAAAGATGAGTATTTTAAAAACTGGATTGAAAATAAGTTGAATGCACAAATAATATCAGCCAGATTTTACATCCTTTCTCGAAGCACGCAATGCATAAAAAGCTGTTAGCACAATCCTGTGGGATTAAAATGTGAAACGGGATGTAGTTGTTGCTGCTAGTCATCTAGAAACTGTTTGGCTCCTTCGATTTTGTGATATATTAGTTCGC